AGGGAGTCCCTTAGTGTGCCCGAAGGGACTGGCTACTAGTGAAGATATTTGAGGGAGTCCCTTAGTGTGCCTCGCGGGACTGGCTAGTGATGGTATCATTCTAGAAACGAGCAGATTTAACTACTTCGCTATCCGAAATGAAGTACTCGCGGGGCTTGCTATTTACCGAAAAAAAAGGGGCTCCTTAGACACTCCTCGGGGCGTCCTCGGGGCCCAAGGAGTTTTCTTTCGGGTCATCCGAGAGAATTCCCGCCGTCATTACACTTACCCTCGGGACGGTCTTCCAAGGAGGATTCCTACGGAGGGCCTGCGGCCAGTCGCATAATATTATTGCTGACCGCGGGGTGGGTTGGGTCGTTGGTCCATGGGTGGTTGTCGGTGTGGACGGGCGTGGTCCAGCTTCGAGTGGCGGGAAAATTCAAATCTTGGTGGCAACAAAAGAAAAATAAAATTCCGCACCACGTCCCGGTTTGAATTTCAAAATTTGAACGACGGCATTGGTGTGGGGGCGGTTCGTCGGCTGGTGGAGAACGCCGAAAAGGAAGATCCTTCCACTGCGTGTCCTCGGGGTCGGCGTGAGTGGTGTGTGCGGCCAGCCAAGGAAGATGTCCCGTGTGAAGATGCCATTGTGGCAGTCGTCGGGCCCCATGTGTGCGGAGAGTAGCAGAGTGCGTCATGTAGGCTGCTCCAATGTCCTTCATTGCGCGATCACCGTCCATCTCCGGTGGTCCGGATTGCTGGTCCGGTGGAACTTGGGGGAGTCTGTCGCGATCGTTGAAGGTGATATCTTCAGCTCGTTTGGGAGCGATGGAGGGCGGCAGCAGTGACGAGCGTGGGAAGTTGACGACGGCGAAGAGGACTGCAGTGGCAACAGCTGTTATCGCATTCCTCTTCTTTTGTCACGTGGAGAGGACAGTGTGGAGAATGAAAGCCCGAATCCACGCTCGGAGGAGGAAGGTGATGCAGTGTACAGTGGTGGAAGGGTTGGACGCCGCCGCCATCTGCGATGCTGTCGTTCAGGTGTGTTGCGCCTTGGATTGCGGAGTTCTTCCCAGAGCAACGCCCTGGTGGTGGATGAAAAGAAGAATGGGTGGGGCGTGGGAGGTTCTGCGGCAATGCGACGGAGGATTACTTTCGGGACACGCATTGCATGTCACCACGTGTCTTCCAGGAGATTGTGGAAGCCTTGTCGCCCTTCCTGCAGCAGCGTGTGATGTTCTACAGGGAACCGTTGCAGCCTGATCAGATTGTCGCATGTGCGTTGTATCGGTGGGCGTCGGGGGAGACGCACGATAGCAGCATGTGTAACTTCGGCACCGGCAGAGCATCAGGTTTGGTGGCGGTGCGGGGCGTGACTGCGACGTTGCTCACGGTCTACCGTGAGAAGATATCATGGCCGACGGGAGTGGTCAAGTTGGTTGTCCTCCGTGCTTTCATGACAAGGGGTTCCCCAACTGCCATGGGTGCATCGACTGCATGCATATCGACATCAACAAGCCGGCAAACGCCCCTGGCGAGGACTACTATGATAAAAAACGACGTTTCCCGATCATCAAGGAGGTTTTCGTCAATCTGAAATTGCGTGTGCTGGACGCCTTCGTCGGCTATCCTGGAAGCTGCCACGACATGAGGATCATCCACCTGTCGAGTCTATGGGCACGTGCAGAGGCTGGGGGACTATTCACGGAGCTGCCTATGATGCTGCCATTTGGCGTCCAAACGAACGGCTACCTGCTGGGCGACAATGGTTACCCACCATCCGAATGAATAGTTGTTCCCTATGGCTACACTACTCATCACCCGTCGGAGATGCGGTTCGACAACAAGCAGAAGACCGCTAGGGAGATAATTGAGAGGGCTTTCGACAGACTGAAGGGACTGTGGAGGTTGTTCCTGCGGTCGCACAAGACGAACATGGAGACGTTGCCGCAGCAGTTTGTCGCTGTCTGCATTCTCCACAACCTACTCTTCAACGCCGACATCCTGTTTGATGACAATCTATTGTGGGACGTGGATGCGAACGGAGTGCACCATCGTGTGGATCTCGGAATCCAACGTCCCTTGAGGCTGGTGTGCATGGAGAGCTCAACGGGAGATGCCCTAATTCTGAGGGACGCACAGGCGGAGATGATAAGTGGCCTTTGACGACGATCGACAGGGGAGTCGTTGTGACGGCGGACCCAGAGGCAAACTGCTGTTCACCATGTCTATTTTGATAGCGTTGCCTGTTTATTTTGTCGGATCGGGGTGGTGGATATTCATCTCATCTTGTACTCATGCTTTCATGTATACATGTATCCAAGGGACGCTGGACCCGTTTTCCAGCAGGTGATGCTCCCCACTAATAGATGGAGCTGTTTGTGTCTTAAAAAAACAACAACAAAAAAAAAAAGATGTCCTTGTCAGTGTTCTTTATCACATCATCATGTGGGTAGTGTCTCGCCTCTTAGTAGCGGACATGCAATCTGTGGGCGTCGTAGGACGCCAGGACCCACACACGTGTCGTGGGCAGGCGGTTTCTGGTTCGCGATCGTCGCAGCCATGTGTCGTCGGTTGGTTACTAGTTTTTTTTCGGTCGTTATGTTTTTTTTCTCCCGCACATGGCATTCGGCCCCTCTGTGGGCAATTGTGTTTTTTTAACACATCCAATTCATGAACTTCTGTTGCACAGGACAGTTTGTTGGTGCTTGCGACCTGTCATGGTGTGCTTTGCTCATTACAAACATGTCACCTGAATTGTTATTTGATGATGTTTAATCAACTTTAACGTTCAAAATTTTCTTTCTTATTCCGTGTTGTGGTTGAAGAAGTTATGACATTGTGTTGGGGGTCGATGTGATTCCCAAGCATGCATGTGCGCCTTCTTGTTTGCGTTGGTGTGCCTGTCTTCTCAAAAAGTTCCCGTGCGATTTAGTGTTGCGACTGCCGATGATTTTGCGTCTATTGTAGCGTGAGTGTGGATGGTGTGATACATGCATGTGACTTCTGTGTTGTTGACAAATGAAAAGAGACGTCCATTTCTCCGACACACTATAGGGTCTCGCACGCATCACAATCGCACAAAGACCCCACGCATGCAATTGCGAACACACCAACCACCCATGGATTTCTTCCACATTGGCCAGAAGTCTGCAGTCATTGTCCTGCCGTTCGTCATCCTCCGCAGCATCCTCTTAACCGTCGGCGTCCATTATCACCGGCTCCTTCTCTGTCATCACCTCCCGCACGTGCAGTCGCTGACCCCCCCGCGTTATGAACTACTCACATTCTCGACGCACCTGCTGCTGCAGTTCAATCCCCGTTCTTTTAATGGGAGCGAACATCCTGTTGTTGGGCCATGGTCCATCTGCCATCGGTACAGCGTGACACATTTTTTCAAGGAGGATCCAAAATTTCAATTTGACACTGGCGCGTCCCTTTTTCTTCCGGGGGGTCCCAGGGTGGAGACTTCCCGTTTCCTCGGCCTCCGACTTTTGAAACGTTTCCTCGGCCTCCAACTTTTGAAGTTCACACATGGACCGCAGCTGGAAAATATGTCTAAGGGGAGGGGGGGAGGGGTTATGGGTTGTCCTAGGTCTGCGGGTCAGGTGACCCAGGCCTAGCTCTCACCCACCCATCAGCCACCCATTTGCCTGACCCAGGCCCCACCCATCACCCACCCACATCCCACTCATGCCAGCTCCTCAAGACCCACACCCGACCTAATGCCTCGTGGGTGGGGTGGGTGTGGGTGGGTATGGGTCTGGGTACTCGTTGCTCATCTCTGTTCCGCAGCACCCTGATACATAGAGCTAGTCAAGGGTCATGGCAAAGGGTACTACCGTCCGAACACGAAGCACCCTAATTATGCCCGCGTACCAGACCCAAAACGTAGCTTACATACATTCGTTCTCAGGGTGCGTTATGTTTGCGGGTCGACGGTCGAGTGCTGCATCAAGTTACTGGGCAGGATCAGGTGAAAGGTCGATCAGTGGTTGCATTTTCGGCAAATTTTCACCGAAACTGCCATATTTCCCTGAATTTTTGCTTTTTTGAAGTTTTCTCTTGTTTTTGTTTTGTGTTTGTGATATGTATATGCATTAGGGTATATCTGTATTCAGGTTCGAGGTATTTGGACCAGTAACGGAAAAGTTAGCAAAAACACCGAATTTGGGGGGGTAGATGGCAAACTCTCGGAAAGCTACTCTGAATAGTTTTTTTTAGTGCTTTCGAGTGTCTGTTTTTTTTTTTTTCGCTTTTTTTGCCTGTTTGATTTTTTCAGCCTGTTTGATTTTTTCAGCCTGTTTGATTTTTTCAGCCTGTTTGTTTTTTTTTGCCTGATCGTGTTTTTTAATGTTTGTATTACGAGCACGCTTTGTTTGTTCGCAAAATTTTCACCGACATTGCTTGTGGTGATGCCGCAAATTTTGGGCCCTCCATTAATCATCTCTCTCTAACGGCGACATCCCCTCCTTAGTTGCTCCCATTATCCCTCTGTCAGAACAAAGATTACACACCTGACTGTTTTAGTGTCGAGGTACATTGCAACAGAGGCATTTGAGCACTGAAATCAAACTATGGAGGTATCCGACTAAACCACATTAAGAAGCGAAAGAACCCAGAAACATCCACACTTCTTTCGAATTGAGAACAGAAGTCGGAGTCCGACAGACAAATAGATCAGCGGTCGATCGGGCAAAAAAAAAGAAGAAGAAGATCAGCAGCAGATCGACATCTTTCCACCCAATTGCCTTGGATAGCATCATTTCCTTCTTTTCCCTTTTCTTTCCCCCTTACCGTTGTGATAACACAAGGCTATATTCTTCTCTCAATTTGCTTTTCACAACCTACCTACCACTACCCCTAAAAGGCTATACAGGGGACCCTGCAAGCATGGCTACCTCGCAATTCATTTCCTTCTCATTTGTCACATGATTACTGACATTATGTCCTGAAACAAAATGGGAAAAAAAAAGAAAGAAAAGGGTCACTTACATCGTAGTACTCACCAGTCGTGCATCAGGATTGTGTCGCATTTGTTTTGACCTAACTGATGACAACATGACAAAATGACGACAAGTGGTAGAAGAGAGGCATGCACGGGAGTGCGTCGCCTAGACCAAAACCATTAAGCAACGATGGGAACACTCACTTGACGACGATGACGACGTCGACAAATTGTTGTCAACCGAAAACCTTCCGACCACCTCATGCCCATCCACAAAGAAGATGCCACTCGAAGCCCCTGCTTGCTCAGAACTGCGACAGTCAAAAATTTGTACGCGAACACTCGCGATAAATTCCATTGATCTCTTTATCGACAACTAGCGCGGCCGCCGGAAAATGGAACCACCCCACTCAACACTGCTACTGTCAAAATTTCAGTACAGAGCACTCGAGGACCCCTGCACCTCTTCATCTTCCACTCCCAAGACACCCGAAATGATGATCACCCACCCGCTTCACACCTCGATATACACAACAACCCGCACTCTATCGACACACCCCTTGTTTAGTGGGATATTTCCGCTGCACTAAGCCGCCAAGATGAAGGGCCTCCTCTCCCTCCTGCATTAGCACCAGACTAGCAGCCACACACACACACACACACACACACACACACACACACACACGCACACACGCACACAGCCTAATCTTTCTGACTGGTCTCCGGCTGGCTAGCATTCATAACCAACTCACATATCCCCATCATTGCCAGCTCCCCTTGGTCAGGTGGGCAGGGGTTGAAGACTGGTTCTCCACTCCATGGCTACGAGGCTAATAATGCTCACCAGGGGTACGGCTGTTTCCGCCAAACGGGACAACCGACAGGAGCTCTCCCTGGGTAAACAGCAAAAGGCGCTTGGAAGAAAGAAAAACAATAATAAGCTCATCAAAGAGACGTACACTCACAATCAAGATACACACAATTCAGCCAGACAGGAAACAATGCAAAGCGACAAAGCAACCGAACGAAGATCATTTTCTTCACATTGGCGATAAGCTTCCCTGAACCGGTCTTGGGTGCAGTGCACTTTTTGCATTTCTTCCAGCTAAGGACTTTCACGCACACTCGCTCCTCCTCTCTAAGCTGTGACGACCCGAACCATCTTCCCATCCACAGCGTATTGCCGATTCTGATGAATCTGCAAAGCAAGACAAATACAAGCAACTCCGCATGAGTAAATCTCAAGCTAATCACAAACAGAAGGTGAGGATGGACATTCAAAAACGCAGAGATCTGACTGTGCAATCGACTTCGACCAAACAGTAATAAAAAAAGCTAATGCATGTCAACATTGTCAAGACTAGCAATTACAAAACATGGGACATTGGACTACAATCCTCTCTTCTCTGAACCAGGAGCAGTTGATTACAAAAATTAGTGATCAATCAATAACTGCACAGGTTGCTCGTTGACAAACAGAAAGCCTGACAGGAAAAAGAGAAAAAAAAAGAGCCTAACAGAGGTATCAGAGAAAGTCACGCTGTACCCGGTTTCCAGCAGTTGTAATAAAGGAAAAAAAAAAAAAAAAGAGCCGAACAGAGGTATCAGAGAAAGTCACGCTGGACCCGGTTTCCAGCAGTTGTAATAAAGGAAGACCTTCAAGAGAGGAAAAAAAAAAAAAAGCAAAAAGCCGTGGTGGTAACCAATGACTGTCAATAAGTTGCACTGATGATTTGTAAGGGAGGGAGGGGGGGGGAGGTAAAGTAACCAATGACCGACAGCTCTAGCTCTCGACAACTTAACATAGATTGCCAATTTACCACAGCATTCCAGAATGTCCCCCATATTTCTTTGCAGGTGCCCTCCTATGCATAGTATGATCCCCCAGTGCGCCGCCCAGCTACCCTGTTCCAACACACCGTTTGAACCACCAGCACATCCAAGCTTCTTGCCGAGGCGGATTCCGCCTGGGGTGTGCACCAAGCTTTGCCGAAGTGCCAGCGCCCAGGCTACCAGCCGCGCCGCCAGGGTCACCCTGTTTTCCTGGGCAGCCCAGCCGTGCAAGGACCAGGGAAGGTCCCAGCAAAAAAAATAAAAAATAAAAAATTAATCGAAAAAATATTGGCTACCAGACCCGCACGGGCCCGGCGGCCCAGCCCATGCAACTAGGACCCCTCCTGCCCGGGTCACCCGCGGGATTAAAAAAAAAGCAGTCAAAAACTTTTCTTTTCTTTTTCCCCTGATGACGGGGCATTTTTGCACCCTCCGAGAGGGACCCAAATCCGGTCTTTTTTCTTTTGGGGTTCATGTCAGTTTTGGAGGGGCGGGGAACAGGGGGGGCGGGGCCGGAGGAGGGGGTAAGGGCCTTTAAAGGGTGTGAGATGATTTTCCTAACATTACTTTATTTATATTCCGAATTCTGTGAAGAATTCCGAAGTGACCCTCAGCCAAAAGTTGTTTGGTTTGCTATTCCACACAACATACTTCTTTTTCCAAAAAAAATGATTTATTTTTTTTTTGGTGGGACAAGGGGCGGGACCCCGCCCGGCCGATCATCGCGGGCAGGTCCCGTGCCAGCTAAAGGGACCCGGGCGGCACGACTGGTAACCCGGGAAAAAATCCGAAAAAAAACTATGTTATGCAGAAAAATAAACTGAATAACTTTTGCCTCAGGGGGTCATATCGAAATTCTTTACCATATATCGATATATATATTGTCACATGATATCAGAGCGCCAAGCGAAAAACGAAAGAAGGAAAACAAGAAAAACTTAATTCATTTTTAATCTTCTTCCTTACAACTCCCCCTGTTCAGAACCTCTTGCGTACAAGGCCGCCCACCTGGATATATACATATATATTGGTCCAGCCGGGCAAGTGGTCCCAGGCCACTCCGGTAGCCCAGGCCAGCGCGGCTTTCTCTTTTTGTTGTTTTCTCGTTTGGCTGGTGCCGCTAGCCATTTTGTTCTGATAGCACTGTTCACCCGAACTTTTCAGATGACCCATTTTTTATTCTCTGGGTGGTGTACTGGCAGTTCAACCACCCCTGCAAAAATGTGGCTTGGCCTACTGGACCAAAATGGTGGGTCATGCCCTCCTGTTTGCCTGCATCTGTCCTCCTATGCAGTTTGAACCACGAGTACACCACGCAGTTACACTGTCCTGACATGCCGCAAAAACTGCAGCTCAGCCTATCGGGCCGAAATGGCTGGGTGGTACACAACGGCGTAGGAGGACAACTGCAGGCAAACAATAGACCCTTTCTCTTGACTGGGAATTTTTTTGCATCACGACTTTGGACGACTGGGCGAAACTGTGCGTCAGGAAAAAGAGGCTCAGGCATACTGCTGATTTAACGAGCTGCGCAAGCATTTTTCCCTTTTTTAATTAAAAAAACGAGACCCCGTCCACCCGGCTTTCATAAACTCTCCCTTCCATACCCCCCCGCACTCCCTCAGTCCTACCTCAGTGTCCACCTCTCAGAACAATCCCCAGATTCACCACTCTACCATTTTTCGGTGTGGGGATTTCAAGCCGCGACTTCTGGCATGACCTGACTTGCCAGCAGTCACAGGCACCAGCGCTAAGCAGGATATCCCTTTCCGCCCTGTTTGAAGCATGTTCTAAAGAGCCCTGTGGGATGGGTATTTCGGACACTAGGCATGAACCTATTCTCTACATGGCCCATGAGTAGACCCTAGTTGCCCCCCCCCAATTCTCTACCCAGGTCCCTTTATACAACTGAATGTTCTTCCCAAGCTACCGCAGACAGTGTCTAATGGCCCAGGCCAAGGTTGAACCTATGACAGCCCCTGAACTAACCAAAGACACCCTCCCCCCCCCCTTCCTCTATCCACAGTCCGTAAGCTCAGCAAAGGGGGCGGGGGTGGCGGTGGGGAGGGGGAGGGGGAGGGTGGGGGTGGGGGCGGGGAGGGGGTGGGGGTAGGAGCATCTGTCAATGAGATGTAGTAATTAAGTCCACAACACGTTTACCTGTTTGATGAGCTCAGCTCGTAGGTCATCCTCCTTAGTGCCTTTTTCCGCCTGCTGCAAAGCTAAAGGCAAAACGGATTTCTGCAGCTTCTTCAGCGACAGTCCATCGGGAGCCTGCAGGGCAAGGTGACACGCACGATGATTGACAGTTAGACCTTGCGCACATGATCCTTCAGCACATCCAACAAAATTGGAGCAGTACAGAAACGATTGGCATGGTCTCTGTAAAACCATGGCACGCATAAATAGTAAGCTTGGTTTAGCCAGCAGCCATCCCCATATGTCTCTACGCGTATAAGAATGTGCATTCAGCTGCAATCGATAATAACATAAACTTAATAATGATAATAACTTAATAGTAATAATAATAATAAAGCACATTCAACTGCAAAAGTCTGCAAGGAATCCATTCACCACCACTAAATAGTTTGGGTTGTAGAGGAACAGGACGCACATTCTTGAAGGCCGTCCTGAAGGCGTCATGCCATTTGCCTTCGCTCAGTAGACGGGGCCGCTCCGCACCTTTCCCGTCTTTCCTCCTATCCGCCGCAGCTTGCTTGGCTGGCTCTTGACTGGCTTGCCCATTTTCCGGTCTTCGCTCCGCAATGGACTCTTTCGCCTTTGCATCCGTTCCATCGCCATCTCCTTTTCTCCTCTTCTTCCTTTGTTTCTTCTTCTTTGGCTCACCATCTTCCTGACGGTCACCCTCGACAAGCTCTTTCTCGTTTTCAGTAGAACCTTGCTTTCCCAACTCCGCGCCTGACGCCTTTTTCTGCTTGGCATCAGCATTGGCATCCCCTGTTCCCTTTGTTGAATCGTCTTTCTTCTCTGGCGTCTCCTGCTGCGCCTCGCCGCCATTCTTGCCGTTGTTCTCGCCGTCACCCCCAGCCTCATTCGAGCTTGGCTGCTTCGTTTTCTTGTTCCTCTTCTTCCTTTTCTTCTTGTTGCTTGTTCCTGGCGACATCTCAACGCCGCCCCCATTCACCACTGGAGACTTCACAGCAGCTGGCCCGTTGCTCTCGTCGTCACCCTCAGCCTCATTGGAGCTTGGCTTCTTCCTCTTGTTCCTCTTCTTCCTCTTCTTCTTGTTGCTCGTTTCTGGCGATATCTCACCGCCACCCTTAGTTGTCACCGGAGACTTCACGCCAGCTTCCCCACCACCCTCCTCCTTTTTGCCAATATCCTTCCCAGCAGTCTCCTCCTGTTCACTCTTCTTACTTTTTTTATCCTTGCTTCCACTACCGTCAACACCCCGGCTGCTGCCCACATCTCCCTCTTTCCCATCTATTCTCATCGGCTCGCCTGCATCAGTGCCGTCAGCTTCCGCCCTCTTTTCCTTGTTTTTCTTCTTCTTCTTTTTCTGCCCATTCTCCTCACCTGCGCCAGCCGCCGGGTTTTCACTCTCTTCTGTGGTCTTTTTCACTCCCCCTGTACCTGATCTTTCCTCCTCCTCCTCTCTGGCTCGCTTCTTCTTGCTCTTCTCTGACTCCTGACCATTCTCTCCCCCATCAACTCCATTTGTTGGCTCCTTTGCCTTTTCTGCTGCGCCCTGAGCCTCCCCATCACCATTCCCCTTCTTCAATGCTGCCCCTTGGTTCTCTGCTTCCTTCCGAGCCACGGCTCTCGCCTTGGCACGGTGCTTTTTCCCCTCCGCGTGTAGCTGCAGATTCTCCTGGCTTGTCGTATTCACATTACACAAGCTTCAGGCACCGTATCCCACAGACACATACAGACAAACATCTCCCGGCCTCCCTCCCCTCTCCCCCCCTCCTCCCCCCCTCCCTCGCCCCCAATCCAATCCACATTCCACAAACGGAAAACGCCAAGAAGCGATCAAGGCAGACAAACGACAAAAACACTCAGTTCATCTCCATTCAATGCAAATAGTCTGAGAACTCAGACTCCCGCCCGCCTCATCTCTCGGCGAAACTCGACCAATCTGCTGGAAACAGCTCGCAAGTCAGAAAGCAACATCACCATCTCTCGAGCTATCCTCACTGCACGTCAGAAAGCAAAATCACCATCCGTCGACCTATCATCACTGCAAGCTTGCAAGTCAGAAAGCAACTACACCATTTTTTTGATGCTTATCCATTTCACGCATCCACAATGGTTTCACTACTTACTGGATGAACAAGTTATTTCTTTTCAGAACCTTGCAAGTGCGTATCCCTCCAATTAAAAAGTTGCCATCCCCAAAGTTCAAATACTCCCAAAACAAAGAGAGAGAGAAAAAAAACTATCCCTTCAGCATTCCCTATGTCATGATCCTTGTGCAGAGGCCATGCTAATCTTCTCTGTATCGTACTGATTTTAACGGATGTGCTGCAGGACAGCATTCTCTCTGTCATCAGTCAATCTGGTGCAGTGAAAAAAATCCGATGCCTGCCCCCCGATTTTTGCTTGTGGCGACAAAAACTTTCTGCAAGGCTGGGGCCGTGTCCTTGCGGTTTAATGATGTCACTACTGACGGTAGGTACCATTGTTACCAGTGGGCCTCGCTCCACTACTCACCGCATGCACAAACGGCAAAAAAATATGGTGGTGTATCTTTCCATATTTTAACGGCGATTTCATTTCCTTTTGCACATTCGGTGAGTAGCAGAGCGAGGCCCAATGTCATTCACAACCACCGCCGTTGTGAATGATGAACGCTAACAACAATGACGACTAGTCAATCACTATACTCGCCCAAGTTCAGTTGCCAAAAAAATCACTAATCATCATTAACGACAAAGTACTCAGCATGCACAAATACCCCTATAATAATAAGCATAGCTAGCTTTCCACCCCGGGCGCCCGGGCCACCCCAGGTCGCCCGGAAGGGCGCTCGGGGTGCCCCGCCGTGCGGCCCCCCCGGCCAGGCCCCCGGCCCCCCTCAGCGCCGCCCCCAAAAACTGCGGAATTTTTTTTTTTTGCGCCAGGGACCTATGTCCCAGAGGGGAAAAAGAAAATTGGCGGTGGCCGCAAAATTTTTCGGGGTCCGGTAGGCCCCATTTCATGTTTTTCCCCCCCCCGCCTAGGCCGTTGATCTGCATTGATCGACGGCGCCGAAGTCCCGAGATTTTGATTTCGAATCTCGGGACTTCGCGTGCGGCTCTGCACCCTCCGCCGGACTACTCCCCACGCTAGTTTGTCGTCACCTTGCCGTCGTTGTCCTCACCATCGTCGCTGTGCCGCGGTCATCCTTGCCATCGTCGTCGTTGCCCTGCCGCCCTCCTGCCGTGCCATCGTCATCGTCCTCCAGCCACACCATAATTGTGGCCGTCCATTCCATGCCATCCTTATCTTCTTCTTCCTCCTCTTCTTACTCTCTTCAGTTCTTCGTTTTCTTCTTTTTATTCTTTTTTCGTCTTTCCTTCTTCTTCTTCTTCTTCTTCTTCTTCTTCTTCTTCTTCTTCTTCTTCTTCTTCTTCTTATACTGCTACTACTTTCGTCCTCTTCTTATTCGTGCTCGGCCATAGCGCTTCTTCTTTCACCTCCTTGATCTGCCATAGCGGTTCCCTCTCTCCTCCCTATTCCTCCATCAGTCTCCCTCCCTCCACATAGTCTCCCTTTCTCCTTCTTCCACAATCTCCTCCCTCCGCATCAGCCGCCCTCCATCCACAGTCTCCCTCTTGCCCCCATCCTCCATCAGTAAACCTCCCTCCGCATACTCTACCTCTCTCCTCCTCCGCCATAGCTCCCTCTCTCTTCCTCCACATCAATCTCCCTTCCTCTGCCGTACTCTCCCTCCCCCCTCCTCCTCCTTATCAGTCTCCCTCCCTCCTCCTCCATAGCCTCCCTCCCCCCTCCTGCAAAACGGACAACCCCTAATCTACCCGCTCTTGCACCCCCTTCCCCTACCCCCCACCCCCGACACACTGAAACCGATATGCCTGAAAAAAAAACAATGAGGCCGGATTTGGGGAGTATTAGGAGAGTGCAGCAGGGCCCCACAGACCGAAAAAAAAAACAAAAAACATTTCAGTGGATTTTTTTCATGCCCGGGGTGCCCGGCCGGGCGTGCCTGGCCGGGCGCCCTTGGAAAGCTAGAAGCATAGGGATTAAAACACTTTCAAACAACACATGGATAAAAAAAAGGTAGAAGATCGCACTGTCAAAGAACCTTAACTAAGTAGCAGATCTAGCATCAACGGAGAGAATGTTGCTACAATTATGCTCATTATGTTGTTGCGAGTGCGATAGACATCATCATGACAAAAAGCAATGCCGCCATTCTCACTATAGTAGTCAACGGTGTTACTCCTATCTTTGTTATCCACCGTCACAATCACCCTCACTGCTGACCGTTCCAAGCTGCAGATCTCTCAGTCAGTCGTCTCTGATGAGATTGAGAAGGCCGTTTCAACAACACCACACCAAACACAACACCGACAAAACACCGACAAAACACCGACAAAACACCGACAAAACACCGACAAAACACCAACAACGCCACACCCACACACCTCACCAACAGAATACCAACAGAACACAACACCAAACACAAGACCAACAAAACACCAACACAACACAAGAGCAGCACAACATTACATCAACACCACAGCACAACACAGGAACACAACACAACACCAATACAACACCACACCAACACCACCAATACAACAACAGAACACCAACACAACACCAACACAGCACCATGCAGTCTCTCATTCACAACTTTTATTTTATTTTTTTCCCCAAAGCTCTTTGGCATCAACTGAAAGTTTGGAGAATGGTAAGGGAATGGAACAGCAGTGTGCATGGAGAAGCCATCTGCACAAGGAGTAGAGATCTCTACCTGCATTTCCAGGGGGGATGGGTCGACAATCCCACGCTTATGTCGGTTCCATCATCAGCTGGTTTCTTCTGGGCACCACTTTTGGGTGTGTTCGTTGATACCTTTCCGTCACCTTTCGGTCCATACTTCTCCTGCATGCAGACACGTCATGAGGCAACCAGTGGGGAAGAAATGAATTCGATTTTATCTTTTTTTTAATTTGTTTGAAAAGTCAAAAGTGTGCAGAAAGGCAAAGGAAGAAAAAAAAAAAAAGGCGGTCAAGAGCGTGCAAAAAGGACGGATGCAACGTACGCAGTCATAAACATATCCATGTCAATCTGAATCGGATGGAGAGAGGACAAGACGAACAAAGGGGCATACAGAGTGCGGACAAGACGAACAAAGGGACAGATGAATATATACTATATAGTATATTATACACAGTATTACGCACCCATACACATTGCACCGGCAAACTAATTCAGATCTGATAGACAGAAGACACAACATGAAGACAATGAGTGGACAAGACTCTGCCCAGCGCAGCTCCACTTGCCCGAAAGAGGTGACAACTGTGAGAGGTTGGCAGAGAAGGCAGATAGGTGATGGGCAAGACGCAAACAGTGCGGGCGTGATGGAAGTGAAAGTCCCATGTAACTTCCATGTAAATGAGAGGTTCAGAGCACGAGAGCGGAGGAGTTCCTGAGATTATGGCAAGTCAGGTATGAGGAGAGGAGGTGTGTGAGGAGGAGGGTGAGAGAAGGGATTGGAGCATACTTGCAAGCGGACGACGTCCGGGCTGTTCCGCACGTGCGGCAGACCGCCGGACCGGAACCGCGAGGCGCACGAATGTGCGCCCGAAGAAGTGGAGTAAAGGGATTTGAAGTGCCAAGGTAGGTTTGGGGTACGTGAGGAAGAGAGGGAGGTGGGAAGGAGGAGAGATAGAAATAGGAGAGGGAGGTACGGAAGAGTGAGAGGGAGCAGGTTGGGAGTTCAGGATACAGGAATGAGGCAAGATAATAGTATTTTTAAAATAGTACGGGCAGGGAGTACGGTTTGGAAAGGGAAACGGTGGAGACATTCCAAAGATGGGAGAGAGAGTAGGTTATCGGAACAAGGGAAGGACACACTACAGCGGAGGGAGGGAGGGGTAGGTTCAGAAGAGTGGAGGGAGGAGGCTAAAAAATGGTGAGGTAGTAAGTTCAGAGGCAAAGGAGGAAAGGGACTATGTTCACAACAGCAATGGAAGTACTACCGTCCTTACCCGAATAGAACGTACTGTCATTTTCGCTGCATGTGGACTGCAGTTTGGTCCAAATACAGACAGAATGACGGTACGTTCTCTCGCCCTCTCAAGGTTGGCTTTGTGGAGGGAGTTTCATCAACGGCCACCATCATCCAGAAGGTAGAATCCTCGCCGAGGGTATGGTGCATATATCGAACATTGCACATTTCTTGTGGAGCACCATTGCAAATGTCAATAGCTAGGGGTCATCATAAAGAAGGAATAGATAAGGTTGTCGAGAGGCATCGGCGATCCATAGTACAGCAGCCCACTTTATACAACATCAGTAATTATTTTTTTGTCGGTAATACACAGCAGTTCCATAGGCAGATAATGAGTGCGCACGGAAGAGTCACAACCAACATCTGCAAATGGGCATGCATACCATTTGATGTCAAAAGGTATTATTGATTGTGAAGTACACTTACCACCTCCGAAATACATGACGTATGAAACTGAACCGTGCGCTTGTCGAACACAACTCCACAGTCAATACAAGAAAGCTGAATACACAACACATGAAGCACCACACACACACACACACACATGACCGAATCCTTCAGGTTAAGCAATCAAGCATTGCGGCATAACAGTACGATTACAATGACGCTGTAGTGGAGCTCGAGACAGGAAAGCTGAATATTCAAAACCTAAAGACAACATGCACACACACACACACACACACACACACACACACACACACACACACACACACACACACACACACACACAACCCAATCCTTCAGGTTATGCAATCAAGCGTTTTGACGCAAGAGTACAATTACACACACACAATTACGGTGGTAGAAATCTTTCCAGATTGACAAAGCTGTTGTGAGGCCCACCAGTATCTGCAATCCTCTATGGACCACAGCCGCCATCCCAAGGAAAATTAATGCCGCCTAGTATCCTTGGAGGTCATGCAACCATAGTGGTGGTCTTTACATTTGAATGAACCACAATGGTAACATGGCCATGGCTAGCGTCTAATCAAATCCTGTGAGGCAGGCACGTAAGTAGTGCATGGGTCGTACAGCATGGGTAGATAAGGAACGCTAGCACATAAGCAGTACATAGGCAGCACACAGATCATCGCAGGAAAAATCAGGGCCTCCTCAAATCCTGGGAGGTCACGAAAGCATAGTGGTGGTGGTGCTTTAAATTTAAAGCACTGTGGCAACACGGTCATTGCTCCACTCATCAACAAAAAATGCACAGTGTCCTTTCAGTGATGTCAAAACAATGACCACTTATCAGGATTACCCAAATGGCTCTCCCGCTATCTATCCTGACGATCGATCCTGGATAGACTCGCTTCACACTGCATTCTTCCTGCGGCGGCTATGGCCGCCAACCCTAGCATCGAACCCTAGCTATGGCAGCACTCCAGGCGCCTTCTTCCTTCCTCCAGGGGCTTATCCAGGTCGCGTGATCGCACAAGCAACTTGCAGAGCTTCCGCAACTAGCACACCACCAAATGCCCAATTCGCTGCACTGTATCTATAAATAGTGACTTGGACTGGACTTGCCTGCTTCCGACCGGTACCCGTCACCCGCGGCCTGTCCTGCTGCTTCAATTGTCGGTCCGGTACCTTCCGGACTTTCCACGGCCTGTCCTGCTGCTTCAATTGTCGGTCCGGTAGCTTCCGGACTTTTCTTGTTGGTACCGGATGGACTTCTAGCTACCAACCTATTTGGCGACTGGTCCGACCTAATGTATGACATTTTGACCCTGGACCCTTCGGACCTTTCCCTGGGACTCTACCTACCGGGCCTGGTTGGGAGTGGGAGCAACTGGGACCGGGACAATTTGGGACCCTGAAGCAGGACTTTGGGCGTTTGCAGCGTGAAATCCTTTCACACACAAAACAACCTCAGAAAGAGATGCTACCTGCACCTGGCCATCATTAACATTGTGGCGACCAGGTGCAGGTTGTTTTTCTCAAGGTTTTTTTTTTTTGTCCTTTTCTCGTTCTTGTCAATTCTGTTAGTCAGTTGGGCTGCCCAGGTCCAGATATCCGGCCAGGGAAGTGGCTGTACCGAAATCAGGGCAACAGTAAACCTCCCAATGTCTATTTTTTCCCAGATTTTTACATGATTATTTTGCTCGTGTCAAATTGAGCACAAATTTGAGGTGGCTTCTGAAAACCAGGGGGTATAGACAGGGTTGGGCACCCCCTTTAAAACCCGTTTAGCCCCTAAAAAATCAATTTATACCCCCCTTCCCTACCCTTGAGAGCCAACACTCGAAAAGTGAAAGGAGCCCGGATTTAGGCTCCTCCTCTGCGCATGCGTGGAGAACCCTCACCCAAAAAAAAAAGAAAAGGGCTGATTTTTGCCTGGACATGGTGTCCCGTGCAGGCAACCCCCGGGCGCCTTGCCTGGTTTGCACGACTGGGCGAGCCACGTAGCTTACAGTAGGTATTTTGCAGTTTTATTTCTTCTTCGCTTTCTGTCTCATAGATTTGATGAAGGGGTTCCCTCCCTGACCTGCAATGAAGTCAGGACAGATGAGGAAAATTCAGGAAAATTCAGGAAAATTCAGGAAAATTCAGGAAAATTCAGGAAAATTCAGGAAAAGGCTGTTTGCAGGGCGAACTTGCCTTGCTGGCAGAACAGGAATTAAAATGACCCGCAAGCTTCGGTTTCTTCAAATTGTCACCACAATCTTCGCACTGAAACCACACCATCTTGAGTTCCCCCTAAGATAAACGTTTTTAAGTTTCAACCAATCATCAAACTACGTGTGGTCGGATGTTCAATGACCACTACTTTCTCAATGCGCTCCCTCCAACAACTGAGCAGAACACACAACACAACCAAAACACGAGTGTCAGGATCAACAGGACAACCCGGAACACAAATCTCACAGTTACAGACAACCTCTCTCTCTCACACACACACACACACACATACACAACATGATCAGCCAATCCAATCAACCGATCAACTTGAGACTTGAACAGGAGTCGGTTAGACTGTGATCCCACATTCGCGGCACCAAGCACAAGACGAAAATAGCAAGAAACACAGAGTTCTTTTACAACGAAAATAGCAAGAAACACAGAGTCGGTGGAAGCAGCTGGTACTGAGGGAGAAAGAAGGTAGGTCGAGGTTCAGTAGTACCGTCTTCCCCCCCACACAAAAACACCGTGATTATGGATGTACCGAAACGAAAATACAGCTTGTATACGTTCGTTTTCAGGGTGCGTTATGTGTTGGGGGACGACGATAGCAAGCACCAATTCAGTACCACAGTTGTCCGATGTCAGTACCAGTCGACCAGTTTCAGCACCAAGTGGTTCGGTTTGGCACCAGCGGGTCTCAATTTCAATGCCAGCCATTGACAGGTACCAGCTGGTACCAGCTGGTTCCAGCCAGTACCAGCTGGTATTAGCCAGCATCCATTGCTCCAGTCAGTACCAGCTGCTTCCACCCAGTAGCAGCTGGTTGCAGACAGCACCTGCTGGTTCCAGACAGTACCAGCTAGTTCCAGCCAATACAACCTGGTTCCAGCCAGTGCCAGCTTGTTCCAGAGAGTACCGGTTGGTTCCAAGCAGGTACCAGGTGGTTCCAGACAGCACCAGGTGGTTCCAGACAGCACCAGGTGGTTCCAGACAGCGCCAGGTGGTTCCAGACAGCACCAGGTGTTTCAAGACAGTATCAGAGCTCTAAACCGTACCAGCTGGGACAGCTCACTGTTCGATGGGTCCCACCTTGGTCACAGAGCCCAGCTATTGGATAGCCAACCGTGAGATACTGTTGAAAAAGAAGAAGAAAAAAAGGAAAAGGGTAACTGTGAGATACTGGACCTGCAGAAGGCATCCGGGAGACTGGAAGGGTCACACAGATCCCAATGTTGCTGTGTCCGTTCTAGATATAAGATAGAACGAATCCGAGCGTAAAACTGGTTAGGTTCGTGCAACTTGGCGCTGCCTAGTCACAAACCCCAGACCTCGGATCAGAAACCGGAACGAATCGTGGACCTTGGATCAGAAATGAAAACAGATCCTGGACCTTGGATCAGACTTCTGGACAACAGGCTTGAAACTCGTGGCCCAGCCAATAACGAAATCGGAAGAGCCTTGGATCTTCCCATTGGGGCTGTGGATCCTGGAACTGTCCCACAGCCCCTGGAACTGAAGTCCCACATTCCCTCGAACTGAAGTCCCACAGCCCCTGGAACTGAAGTCCCACAGTCCCTGGAACTGAAGTCCCACAGCCCCTAGAACTGAAGTCCCACAGCCCCTGGAACTGAAGTCCCACAGCCCCTGGAACGGAAGTCCCACAGCCCCTGGAACTGAAGACCTATAGTTCCTGATAACCCTAGACCTTGGATCAGAAACCGGAACGAATCGTGGACGTTGGATCAGAAATGGAACAGAAACTGGACCTTGGTTCAGATATCGGACGGCATCCTGGACCTTGGATCAGACTTGTGGACAACGGGCTTGAAACTCGTGGCCCAGCCAATAACGAAATCGGAGGAGCCTTGGATCTTCCCAGTGGGGCTGTGGATCCTGGAACTGTCCCACAGTCCCTGGTACCGAAGTCCCACAGTTCCTTGAACTGAAGTCCCACAATCCCTGGAACTGAAGACCCACAACTCCTGAAAACTGAAGTCTAGCCCGACATACAAAACCTTGCAGAAGAATTCTTTTAAACCTTTGGATCAGACTTTTAGGCCCCCTCATATTCCGTTAGTCTCCGTTACTCTCCCCGTTACTTTCCGTTACTCTCTCCATTAGTCTCCGTTATTCTCCATTACTCTCTGTTACTTAGCCTCTGCTCTAGTGACGAAATGTTGTAGCAAGGACTACCGTCGCCTCCTCTCAGCGATCGTTCCACGGATGATGATCATTGGTGGAACAGACGGAGAACATACCTTTTTTTCTTCCCCCTCTTTTCCCCCCTCCTATTACAGTGTGGTGAACTCCCCCTCCCTCCGCCGCCAAATTGTTGCCATAAAAATCTCAAATAAATGAAGACCATCAGTTGAAATCCCCGCATATTATGAAACAGTTACCTCCAAATAAAGGGGAGGAGAAGGGGTGTGCGCAGTAACTGTTTCCAGCGGGAGATGCACCACAGTGGGAAGGGGGGAGGGGGAGGGGGAAGGGGAGGCGCGGAAAGATTCAGACTGTGGCGGCGATTCACCACAGCGGAGGGAATATTCCCCCGCCGGCACGCCCCTCTCCCCCTTCCCACTGTGGTGGGGATTCACCATTCTCACTATGGTGAATTGCTATTGAAAAAGACTCGAAAATTGAAGTCCAGGAGTCCGAAATCTGCCAACCAAAGCAGTTGCCTCCAAATCAAGAGGAGTGGCAGTAACTACGGGGCGTGCGCAGTAACTGCTTCATGCGGGAGATTCACCATAGTGGGAAAGGGGAGGGGGAGG